AAATAAATGAATATTTCAAAAATAATTTTGGATTTTAGAAAAAGCAGTGGCGTACCATTTTTTTCTTCAAAAATATTCAATTCAAACCCCGTACGGAAGTCACTGGTAAAAATTTAAAAAAATCTTATACGTCAAAAAATGCTCCTTAATGATTAGAAGGTGTTTACAAAATTTCATAGAAATATCTGCAGTGATAAGAAAATTATGAAAAAAAAAATATATTTTTTTCTTAAAACTGTAACACCCTGTAGCTCAAAAATTAAGAGATTAACGACATATGTTGATATTAACTTTTCTTCTTAAAATCACCCAAGGATTCATACCCTTAAGTATCGGCACTCAATTAATAAACACCCTGTATTTCATTCTGAATTCATGTGTGTAGTTAATCCACACCCATAAGTATTTAACACAAAAAGTCCTGATTAGTTGATATTAATATAAATATTTGATTTTAGTATATTATTAGAATGTATTTCGTAATTAGGACTTCTGGCATTTCTTTTATTATTCCTCTTCAATAATTCTGTTTTTCATATGTAACACACTATTTATTAAAGATAATTTACTTAAGATTTCTTTGAATTTCACAGAGCACTTTAAAAACACTTTATACTAGATACAGTATCAACTACGAGGAATAAATACATTTTTGATTTGTACACCTTATTTTTTTACAAAAAATCAATACTAAGATTCGCATAAATATATTATATGCATAATACTCCAATTTTACGGATTATTTTTTATTTTTACTACAAGAAAAATGATGTAAGTACAGGTTAAAGGCTGAACCTGTACTTCTCTGGAGTCATTTTTTAAAAATTTTAATCAATCTCTTTTGAAAAAATCTAAAAAGATGTCTTTGACAGAAAGAAATAAAAATGTTATAAAGTGTTAGAAGGGAACAATATATTTAATTTTTTTAATAAAAGAAGTAGAAATCAAGTAGTAGAAAACTAAAAATGAGATCTTCTACCAGCAGAAAATAAGCCCCTTACCTACAAATCAGTTCTTATAAAGCTAAAGTAATTATTTTAAGTTACCAATTTCTAAATTTATTTTTAAATTTTTTTAAATTATTAGAGGGTCCTAGAAAAAATATACGGTACAACTCGAGTGGCCAAATTACTATTGCAGAAATGAATAAGCATATACTCACCGCCATTGTGACTATTCACCAAAATTGAACTTTAAATAAAACGGTACAAACTGAAAGAGCCATTAAATTTATACTTCTTAAACATATAATTATTTTAAATACTGTTTTATATCATTTTGCTTTTGGGCCGTTTAATTATTAGGTAATAGCTAGAAAATTAGGCGTTAACCCTAATTTCACAGCTGGTATCTCACTTGAACATGTTTAGTAAAACATTATTAATTACAAACTACTGTAAATAATTATTTTTATAATTAAATGGGATAGATATTATTTTTTTTAAGGAATAAAAATTTTACAAAAAATGCGTAGACAAAAAAAAATTAAACAAGAAGAATGTAAATATGGAGTTTTAACAAAAACCTATTTCGAAAGAACCCCATGGAAAAATCACACATGCTGGAGTTTACAATTCTTCTTCTTTTTTAAATTACAAATATCTTTTTTGTCGGTTATACCCTTAGATAAAAGAGACCAGAGATATAACATCATACACCGGTGTTTAACCTGCGCAAATGTTGCCAATTTCTAGAGAAAGGTTAACGGAGTGGGGGAACTGGGCGGCGACACGCGGCGACCCGAACTCTGTGGCAGGGACCGGACTTTGTTTATTAGCATCATAATGAACTATTAAATTTATTTAAAAGGTGTTTAATCGAATTTTGTATTATGAAATAAAATTAACGTGATTTTTTAATATCAAACAGATGCCACGACATTTTATGTAAAGAGAAGACCTTTCATAGAATATTTCGTTAGCGTTTATTTACTACGGACTTTTCTGCAAGAGATTACAGTAAAACGTTGAAATAGAATATATTATTGATAGAGCAAAAAATGTTACTCATTGTCTACGAGTATTATAAAAATAGCATGTGCGCAGGCGAATACTGCAAATCTAACCTTATGAGTTGAACATTATATTTTTTCTACGGCTATTACATAATAATAAAAATTAGTCAAAATGAGAAAATGCTGTTTTGTATTATAACCTCAGAAAAAGGTATGTTAAGGCTTCTTTCTTTAGGAATATTAATTATTATAAAGGATGAGTCACATAAAACTCTAGAAATGCATATGTCTGAAACCAGATAACATTTTAAAATTTAAATCTATTAAAAGTAATTTGGTCGCTAGGGATGAGTGATTATTGAAATAAATTATCGATCATTGAAAATAATCGATTATTTTCGATCAATCGATTATTTTCAAACAACATATTTTTTGTCATTTCCTTTAAAATTTACTACTTGATTATCTCTGAAAAATCAAAAATAATCGATTAATTAAAAAGCCAATTAACCGATTAATCAGTGTTTACAAAATATATTAAAAAAAGAATTATCGTTTATTTTAAATAATCGTTTATTTTAAATAATCGATTATTTTCAAATAAACCATTTTTTTTTCGTCCGTGGAAACAGATTATTCGATATTTTTTTAAAAAATCGAAAATAATCGATTAATCAAAAATAATCGATTAATTAAAAAGTTGATTAACTGATAAATCGATTTTCAAAAAAAAAAACAGAATGATCGACTATTTTAAATAATCGATTATTTTCGATCAATCGATTATTATCAATAATCTATTTTTAATGTATTTCCTTTAAAATCGATTATTCGATTATCTTTGAAATACCAAAAATAATAGATTATTCCTAAATAATCGTCTGTCGAAAATAACTAATTATTTCAGAAGCCGATTCTACGATAAATCGATTTTCCAAAAAATAACCGAATTATCGATTATTTTCTAATAATCCATTTTTTTCGTCTATTGAAACAGATTATTTGACAATCTTTAAAAAATCGAAAATAATCGATTAATCAAAAATAATCGATTAATTAAAAAGTCGACTAACTGATAAATCAATTTTCAAAAAAAACAAAATTATCGAATATTTTAAATAATTGATTATTTTTCATCGATCGATTATTATCAATAATCTACTTTATTGTATTTCCTTTAGAATCGATAATTCGATTATCTTTGAAATATCGAAAATAATCATTAATTTCAAAATAATCGCCTAATCGAAAATATCCAATTAATTAAGCCGATTCTATGATAAATCGATTATTATCAATAATCTTTTTTATTGTATTTCCTTAAAATCGATAATTCGATCATCATTGAAATACCGAAAATAATCGATAATTCCAAAATAGTCGCCTAATCGAAAATAACCAATTAATTAAGAAGCCGATTCTATGATAAATCGATTTTCCAAAAAATAAAACGAATTATCGATTATTTTCTAATAATCCTTTTTTTAATATTTCCTTTAAAATTGATTATTCGAATATCAAAAATAATCGATTATTAAAAAGCTGATTAACCAATGAATCGATAATTTTAAAAAATAACCAAAATATCGGTTATATAAAATAACCGATTATATTCAATTGAATAATGAAAAAACCGATTGAACGAAAATCGATTATTTTGAATAAATATACTTTTTTTTGTATTTAAAAAATCAAAAATAATTTATTAAAAACAGCGGATAAATCGATTTTCATAAAAAATATCAGAATTATCGATAAATCGAATATTTTTGTAACCCCTATCGGTCGTTTGCTTTGATCCGAGCGTTTAGCTCAAAAATTTTGAGATTTAGATTTTTTGATCCCGTTATCTTTGAAACCGCATTCGATTGTATAATAAATAATAAATATTGCTAAATTTTGGATTTTTTTAGTAAACGAAAATTTTGTTCGAGTTGTTTAGGGGTTTGTAATGTAACATTTTATTAATGTGACCAACTCCCGTAACTTTTGTATTTTTTTTGCTTATACTAGATCATATGGTGCGTTTTACTTTGTTTTAAGACTGAAGATTCAAATGTCACTTTCGATTTGACCGCAAATAAGATGAACCTTGTAATTTTAAGTAGGTCATCCTGTATTTCATCTAATATTCTTATAAAAATACCTTATAAAAATAAAATTTAGCTAGCAACTATGATTCTTTACTTCTTATTTATCTACCAAAAAGGGCTTAAAATCACCTTTAGAAAACATTCTTATAAAACTACTTTTTAAATACAAAATTTCGTTAGCAACAATGCCTATTTACTTTTTATTTAAATTAAATGTTCAAAATTTTATCTTTTTGTAAATTTATGTAAGTAATATGAAATCTGATTTCGGATGCTTAATATTTATTAAAACCCCTTAATGCGGATCTGAAGTATTCAGCCCAGAGAATCATGGCGCTTTATGTCAAAACGTTAATAAATATTTACTGCTGAAAACGAATATGTTCATAACATTAGTACTTGTATTATAAGTACATACATTTTTTCAAGATACATCGTGGCATTTTGAACTTGAAATTGATTAACTAGAGCACTTTAAATTGCTAAAATACCAACAAATAAATCAAAAAACAGCTGTCAATGGTGATTAAACTCAGGTGGAGGTGATCGATGAATGGAAAAATCGGAGCAATTCGGGTGGTGTCGTGCAAACAATGATTTTCAATTGGTGGGTAACTTTGGGTTAAAATAGACAACATGCGCAGTGTGCAATGTTACATCTTCGGTCTCTTTAATCTAAGGTTATACCCCATTTTTTGTATTTCACATATTAATTTATACTACTAATTATTAGTTCTGGAATTTAAATTAAAATAAGAGTCAGTAAAACAAGCGTTTAAACTCTGAATGCTTAAACTAATCTTTAATCAAACATAACCAATATGGTTATTGTAAATTAATTATAAATAAATACATATATTACAATAATAATTAATTTCTGACGTGTTTACAATATTCCAGCAATCAAATAAATTAAAAAAGAAACTGATAACATAATACTAAAATAATGATTGTGTCTCTTTCATAAACACTGAACTGACTATTCTGTGTAAATGACGTCATCTTTGGAACATGTAGAACCCTGTAGAATGGAAGAGTGTCTTCAATTGATGAAAATGTTCTAACGACTATTGTCCAGTTCTCCTGAAAAATTATGTTTTGTTGGAATTATTACCATAATGATCAAAAAAATAATATACAAGTAAATAATAATAAAAAAAGGCGTAATGAACTTTAAATTGGTAGTTTGAGCTACCATGTATTATTAGAAATAAAATACCTACGTATTTTTCAATATTACAATATTTAAGACACAATTGTAAAATAATTATTTTATTATGATTTGTAGTTTTGTTTGGAGCACTCTGTAAAATGGGCCCGTTCACTTTCACTTTTGAATGTGAATTAATTATATATTTATAAAGATATTAAAATCTTTTGTCTGGTGGTACTTTTCCCGTTAAGATATTTTTGCTAGAAGTATGGGAATTCCCATAAAATTCTTTCAGTGACTCATTGCGTCAGAAAATCCCTAATTCCGTTCACGTCTCGTATCGGTTATGCTTAAAGACGGCGGGGTTGTCGGAAGTATCCCTAATATAGCATTTCTGCATTTATATATGTAATTTAAATAGTAAAATTCCATTATTTTTCTAAAAATCATGAACTTATATTTTCAGATTTAAAGCTGGGAGCTTATTTTTTACTTTTTAATTAAAACAATTATTATTACTCAGGCTGAAAATTAACCAGACCATAATCAAAAAGTAGAAATTTGATTTGCAATATTTATCTGGTAAACGTGGCAACGTTGCATTTATTTCTAGAAGTGTGTGTAGACAACAGTATTTATGCTGCGTTTGAGAATCCACATCGGATGCATCTGAGATGTAAAAAATGTTTGATCACGTGATGCAGTATACGTAAATGTAATGGGACAGATGTGTCCGATGTGGATAAAAAAACGCTCGAGATGTAAAAAATGCATCCGATGTGGATTCTCAAACGCAGCATTAGAAGTACTTACAACGTTGTCACGTTTACCAGATACATTTTCTCAAATAAAATTTCGATCTGGTAATATTCAGCTTGAGTAATACTAATTGTTTTTATTAAAATTTAAAAAAGGTAGGGCTTCCAGCTTTATCTGAAAATATAAACACATTATTTTTAAAAAATAATATATTTTTATCATGTAAATTTCTTTAATAAATGCAGAAGAGGAATGGTGGTGCAATGATACATCCGACAACCGCGCCCTTTTAACTATTAACTGATACGAGATCTGAAGGGAATTAGGGGTTTTCTGACGCAATGAGTCACTGAAAGAATTTTATGGGAACTCCCTTACTTCTAGCAAAAATATCTTAATGGGAAAAGTACCACCAGACAAAAGAGTTTAATATCTTTATAAATATATAAATAATTCACATTCAAAAATAAAAGTGAACGGGCCCATTTAAAATAACGCAAAAAATTCTCATCGTCAAGGATGAATTCGACGATTCACCCAGTATACAGACGGTCGGGATTCAGCATCTTGTGGTACGTTTTTACAGGAAAAATCCTGCAAAACCTTGTTTGATGTTAGAGTCACGAACTTGTGGAGGTTCCATTAGCCCAGTTATATTTCAGTTGGCAAAGACAAGAGACGGTTGTTCCTGTGTTTTTATATAGTGCAATATACCTAAACTTTCTGTATCACTTTTAGTGCCTAACTATACGCAAAGGTAAGTAGGTGTAGGTACCTCGAACTTTTTGTTTTGTAAAATGTCTAATTACATTATTAATTCTTAAAATGTAGTGGAGAAAATACATATATGACGTTGTTGCACATAATGTTACTAATCATGTGTTATACATGTCGTCATCAACATCAATAAAGTATGCAGATCTGACAAGATCAAATATACGAGCCTGCTTTGCCTATGCCAGAACGAAACATTTAGCAATCTCTCACTCCTCCTTCTTTCGACGCTCTCGACTCTACCAAGTACCCTTCGTCGGAGGATCCACAAATAATGGATTGTCGAATACATCTAACACTGACGATAATATTGAAAGGTTGTATACACATGGCAAGTCGCGCCAGAAACGAGCTTATTTCGTTAGAATTATATGGACACGACACTGGCTGGTTTTTGATGCGGTTCAGGCGCGACTCGTTTTATTTACACGCACCTTTATGTTTTATTGTTCACTTTGTTTTAATGTTTTATATTCACAGAATAGAAATGATAAACAATTTATTGAGTAGTTTTTTTTCCTGTTTCTATTATATCGCTTTCCATTTTCGATAATTTATTTATGCCTAGTATTGTTTATTGTTACTCGTAATCAATCTTATTGCATAATTATAACTATTGGTGTAAAAACATTATTTTAACTCAGTTTCAAAGTATCCGTAAAAGTATCCTTTAAAGTATCCGAAAAAAGTATCCGGATACTTGTATAGGAGTACTTTTTAGGTGAAAGTATCCTAAAAAGTATCCGGATACATTGTAAGTATCCGTATCCGATACCCGGATACGTTTTTCCTGTATCCGACCCAACTCTGATTCAAGGGATTTTTTTTTGATGTGAATAAAAATGGTTGTCGACTTTGGATTTTCACTAACAAATCTAGTTGTAATTTTATTTAGAACATTTATAAATTCTATTGATGTATTCAAATTATAAATATGCATTTTGCATAAGTGTTTCCATTTTAAGTCAGCACCGATATCAAAATAAATTTTATTTATTTACCTGTGATGATTCAATTTGTTCTTATATCCATTGTTGACATAAATCACATGTTCATCAGGCTTCTTGTCAAAGACGAAATTCCTCACGAGCGAAAATAAGGCGCTAGTGAAAACCATATTGTTCACCATCGATACCACCATGACGGCCATTTGCAATTTTGGCATGATCCACGGCATCACGCCTGACATGAAGAAAGCTGGAATGAGGGCGTACTGGATCAAATTCGACGTTGAAGTCTTCATTTTTCTTCCTTCTGCATGATCCGGTTTGAAGGATATGCTTAAAGTTTCGTTCGTGAGTTTCATGACTAAGTTGCTGATGTGGTATATTTCATCAGTGTTATTTTCTTTAGCTAAAACATTAAATAACTGTTTAATAAAGAAAAACTTATTAAATCAAGAAACAAATTAGAGTTGGTATTTTGTTAAATTTAATTATATCGGTGGTAATTTGACCACAAGACGTGAAAAAATACCATCATTAAAAAGAAAAAGTAAATAATTACAAAATTCGAAGGGAAAACGGTCCAAAGCATTTTTTTTTTTAATCTTTATAGGGTATAATAATGCTTTAAATTTTTCTGTTTTTTTTTTTTAATTTATCTTCTTTAAAATCTCTTACCAGCTCTCTTTTGTTTTATCAACAAAAATCTAGATTTTTCTTAATCTATAGTAATTTAATAAGTTGGTGTGACCATGTGAGAGTAGAAAAAATCTTGGATATTAGCTAATTTATGCACAGACTACAGAACAAAATAGTAGGTCATTGCCTTCACCTGAACGAATATATGTCATATCCATTCTTTATTTAAATTGCAGAACGTAGTACATCCTTCAATGCTTATTTGTAGTTAAAATGAAAATTTTAATACACCCGATCGGCCTAATAAAAGTTTCATTTAATCATGTCAAGAAATCTATAATCTAAGGGTTAATCGTTATTTTATCATCTTCTTGGAGATTACTAATGCCATGAAAAAACCAAAATGATAACAAGGGAAGTGGGATAAACAGGACAGGAAAGCAGCAATTATTGATTCTGAGGACACGCAGATATCTCAGAACCATTCTTAAATTACGTGCAGAAGGCAAAAAATAATTTATTTGGACGAAACCTGGGTGAATGAAGTTTACACAGTTAGCAAAATGTGGCAGGACGCAAACATTCAATCTTCACAAGGCTTTTTTGGAAAAATTATCTACAGGATTGAAGATCCCTTTCGGTAAAGGACGACGTCTACAGTTCATCAAATTTCTAGAGGTGTTCGACGCCCAGACAGAGAACGCGCTACGTGTGACTAAGATAGCTATTGTACAGTCTGCTAAACAAGTTATTTTAAATAGTTTTTAATATTTTTAGGTAATTAAATTTTAAAAGTGTGGAATAGTTTAGGGATTAAATTGGTCTGATTGGACTTTCTTAGAACGTTTTTAAAAGCAGCTAAAGATAGTATGTAGAATTGAAAATAATTATTATGCCATAAAAGGTGTTTTGGAATTCCTTCAAACTTTTGAAATTGAGTCAGAAAATATAAATTTTATAGGATAGCGGAAAATACCTATAATTTTTTTGTAGGCCTTTGTAAATCGTGGAAATAGTTTATATTTTATTTCTACCTTATTAAGGAAAATGGTACCTATTATTAATAACGGTTGTTTCTGAAACATTACTAAAATTTTCGAAATTTTGTTTTTCTACAAAATAATAAACTATACTATTTAGAAAAAAATTTATTTCTCTTATAATTTTATAAAAAATAACAGGGGAATATTTACATTTCTTGATCTATTAAACAAAACGATAAATTATCTCGACGAATGACACCATGTTCTAGTACGGAAGCTAGCTTTACATTTTTGTTGGTGGTTTCATGGGTTTCAAAACAATTTTTTGTAATTGTAGTTTACACGTACATATACCTCTTAACACTTGTTTGCTTTATTAAAAAAGTGTGTTGTTGTGATTTACGGCGAAATAAGTCAAAAACAACTTGAAACCCCATATAAAATCAAAAAGGAGAAACGGAAAAAAATTGAGCCTGTAAATGAACACAACTCAGAAACAAAAATAGCTATCTAATAATAAAAAAATAAAATTTGATTCTTGTGCATCTTCGTTGTAAAAATAGATAATACTTTTTTGATCTTAGGTACAGATATAATTTTAATGGTCTTCCGAAAAACTTTCTTCAGTTTCCATATCAGATTCAAAATCAGTTTCACTGTCACTGTTTAAGTTAATTATAAATCTATCAGTTGCCTCATCCAAAGTAACTTCTCTGTCATAAAATTTAGATTCCCACATTTTAGCATTATTACAACGAGATTGCCACTCCTCTTTAGAAAACGTATCAAAAAAGTCTTCACACAACAGTTGTACGTCTTGCCTCTTAAATGTAGTGTTGTTACTAGCTACATATTGTTTCAATGATGCCCACACTAATTCGATCGGATTAAGATCGGGATGATACGGTGGCAAACGCAAACAACTAAAACCATGTTCATTTATCATTTCTTCAATTGCATACCTCTTAAATCGTGACTTATGCAATAGCACTAAACTGCATAATTGCGTTTTGAGCATATCCTCTTCGTAAGCAATATTATGATTCCTTAACCAATCCTGCATGTCAGCTTTTTTAGAAGTTGACCGTGGTGCTTTATTTACCTGGACATTATGGTAAGGAGCATTATCAACAATAATGACGCTTCTTGGAGGGAGGTTCGGAAACAGCTTTTCTTTCAACCATTTAGAAAAATTATTAAAATTCATTTCATCGTGGTAGTCTCCACTTTTGGTTCCAGATTTGAAAATTAACCGGGCATTCGGAATAAAGCCCATTTCACCTCCTGCATGGACAATAATTAGTCTTTCACCTTTATTAATTGGTTTCTTTAATCCCTCATTTGAATTATCACTCCAAGTTTTCTGGTGTGTGTGGGAGGCATGAATGTATGTTTCATCTAAGTAGACAATTGGACGGCCCTCTGCTCGATAACTTTTTAAACGAATCAGATAGTCTAAACGTAGCTTTTGAATATCAAACCTTTCCATTAATATTTTTCTGTTTGTTTTTGTTTTTACGCCAACGAAATCCTAGCGACTTTATTATTTTGCTTAAACTTTCATAGATTCCTTTGTACCCTGTAGCTTCTCTAAATTTAGTCAGAATTGTTTTTAATGTTGGAACAATATTTTCCGAGATTAACATGAACAGAATAATTCTTTTTAAATACCTTTGTCAGCTTCATATATATCATTAACTGTTTTTGGTTTTTTAATGGTTTTTCTTGGTGATGAAAATTCCGATATCTCACGGTTATCGATTCTTTTTTTCTCTCCAGAAATTCGGACGACAGTGTTTTTAGATACTCCTGTGGCTGCAGCAACACGATCATTTACATTTTTAAATGGTATTGAAGGTGAATTAAAGTTTCCTTCTCTTCTCATAAACTCTATAACATTGGCTATTATTTCGCGAGATTGACTGTTAATCACGCGGCCTCTTAATTTGCTATTAAACTCTATACTTAGGTTCTATTAAACTGTAATGAGCAAAAAACACAAACGAAAATAAAAGAAATGTTTTAGCGAAATTTACATCTGACATTTACGTTTGAATGAAATAGTGAAATACTTGATGCGCAGAGTGTACATTCATTGCGTAAATCCGTCGGGATGCCTGTCAGTAGTGCTTTCTCTGTCTAGCCGTCGAAAGCCTCTAGAAATTTGATGAACTGTAATTATAACTAATATTGGAAGTGATGACGGGTTTTCAAAACGTGGTTCTTTAATATTTCAATCTACTACCATGAAGATATGAACGCTAATGTTTTGAAGAATATTTTCAACAGATGATAAAACATTCCTGTCTATTTGAACGTGTGCCAAATACTTCATGGAAGAAAGATGATAACAGAAAAAAACATTAACTTTCCTTAAAAATTAATCAAAATAAAACTGCTAGAAATTGTAAAATTAAATAAGGCTCCAGTACGTTATGTAGGAATATACTTGCAAAACACATGGTATTGATGTTGTGCGTCTTCCTCCCTATCACTGCAAACTAAATCCTATTGAACAGATATGGACATGCGTTAAAGGATATGCAGGTCGATATAATACGACATTTAAGTTAAAAGAAATTTTCATATCACTTGTTACGAAGGAAAATTAGCAAAAGGCAATCGAGCACGTGTTAAATGAAGAAGAAAACATGTGGAATCTGGACAAAATCTTGGATGTCGATACTACAGTGCCACCTTTAATAGTATCAGTAGATAATGACTCATCAAGTGAATATAGTGATTCAGAGACTTTCTCGTAGCCTATTGTTCATGTATCACAAAACCAGGCGGTACAGGTAAAATTCTTAATGAAACCAAAGCATTTAACAGATTTTGTTTGAGCTACTTGTGCTGTAAACTCTCATAAAATATTTATTTATTCTATTATAATTGCACCATATACGGATTTACCCTACGAATATACTTAAATAATTATTAATGGGTCCACCCTATATTATCTAGCTTTGGTGTTTACGTATATTTTCATAATTCATAACATAACTTCAAACAATTGTTTATGCTATTGTATGGTATTTTGTTCAGACATGACATATAATATTTGCTATAGTATGTATTGAACAACTTATTTTCATTATTTTCCTCTATAATAAACATAATAAACCCAAATAATAAAATAATTATCAGCTTCAATAAAACCAGGTAAATTGTCTCAAATTGTCTTAAATTGTCTTAAATTGTCTTAAATTGTCTTAAATTGTCTTAAATTGTCTTAAATTGTCTTAAATTGTCTTAAATTGTCTTAAATTGTCTTAAATTGTCTTAAATTGTCTTAAATTGTCTTAAATTGTCTTAAATTGTCTTAAATTGTCTTAAATTGTCTTAAATTGTCTTAAATTGTCTTAAATTGTCTTAAATTGTCTTAAATTGTCTTAAATTGTCTTAAATTGTCTTAAATTGTCTTAAATTGTCTTAAATTGTCTTAAATTGTCTTAAATTGTCTTAAATTGTCTTAAATTGTCTTAAATTGTCTTAAATTGTCTTAAATTGTCTTAAATTGTCTTAAATTGTCTTAAATTGTCTTAAATTGTCTTAAATTGTCTTAAATTGTCTTAAATTGTCTTAAATTGTCTTAAATTGTCTTAAATTGTCTTAAATTGTCTTAAATTTTCTTAAATTATCTTAAATTGTCTTAAATTGTCTTAAATTGTCTTAAATTGTCTTAAATTGTCTTAAATTGTCCTAAATTATCTTAAATTGTCTTAAATTGTCTTAAATAGTCTTAAATAGTCTTAAATAGTCTTAAATAGTCTTAAATAGTCTTAAATAGTCTTAAATAGTCTTAAATTGTCTTAAATTGTCTTAAATTGTCTTAAATTGTCTTAAATTGTCTTAAATTGTCTTAAATTGTCTTAAATTGTCTTAAATTGTCTTAAATTGTCTTAAATTGTCTTAAATTGTCTTGTCTTAAATTGTCTTAAATTGTCTTAAATTGTCTTAAATTGTCTTAAATTGTCTTAAATTGTCTTAAATTGTCTTAAATTGTCTTAAATTGTCTTAAATTGTCTTAAATTGTCTTAAATTGTCTTAAATTGTCTTAAATTGTCTTAAATTGTCTTAAATTGTCTTAAATTGTCTTAAATTGTCTTAAATTGTCTTAAATTGTCTTAAATTGTCTTAAATTTTCTTAAATTATCTTAAATTATCTTAAATTGTCTTAAATTGTCTTAAATTGTCTTAAATTGTCTTAAATTGTCTTAAATTGTCCTAAATTATCTTAAATTGTCTTAAATTGTCTTAAATAGTCTTAAATAGTCTTAAATAGTCTTAAATAGTCTTAAATAGTCTTAAATTGTCTTAAATTGTCTTAAATTGTCTTAAATTGTATTAAATTGTCTTAAATTGTCTTAAATTGTCTTAAATTGTCTTAAATTGTCTTGTCTTAAATTGTCTTAAATTGTCTTAAATTGTCTTAAATTGTCTTAAATTGTCTTAAATTGTCTTAAATTGTCTTAAATTGTCTTAAATTGTCTTAAATTGTCTTAAATTGTCTTAAATTGTCTTAAATTGTCTTAAATTGTCTTAAATTGTCTTAAATTGTCTTAAATTGTCTTAAATTGTCTTAAATTGTCTTAAATTGTCTTAAATTGTCTTAAATTGTCTTAAATTGTCTTAAATTGTCTTAAATTGTCTTAAATTGTCTTAAATTGTCTTAAATTGTCTTAAATTGTCTTAAATTGTCTTAAATTGTCTTAAATTGTCTTAAATTGTCTTAAATTGTCTTAAATTGTCTTAAATTGTCTTAAATTGTCTTAAATTGTCTTAAATTGTCTTAAATTGTCTTAAATTGTCTTAAATTGTCTTAAATTGTCTTAAATTGTCTTAAATTGTCTTAAATTGTCTTAAATTGTCTTAAATTGTCTTAAATTGTCTTAAATTGTCTTAGATTGTCTTAAATTGTCTTAAATTGTCTTAAATTGTCTTAAATTGTCTTAAATTGTCTTAAATTGTCTTAAATTGTCTTAAATTTTCTGAAATTGTCTTAAATTGTCTTAAATTGTCTTAAATTGTCTTAAATTGTCTTAAATTGTCTTAAATTGTCTTAAATTGTCTTAAATTGTCTTAAATTGTCTTAAATTTTCTTAAATTATTATTATTATTATGTCTTTCGTTATTAAAATATAGCCTAAACGAGTTATTAAAGTAATTTAAAAAAGACTCCAAAAATTAAGAGGGTGTTAATACCCATACACTTAAACGGACATTAAGAACACCACATCAACGGACATGACAAGGATAAAGGAAATAAATACAATACATATAAATATAAAAGGATTTTAACTTATTTTAACAATTTCAATGACACACCCCAAACTTTGTACTAATGGTAAGCCACAATACATAATAATAAAAAAAATGTTAACTATAAAAAAAATTTTCTTGTAGAACTGTCGATCTTAAACTTATTATTTTTAAAAAAATATGGCTTTAATGCAAAAAAAAATTACCAATAATAAAAAAAACTACTGAAGAAGGCACTGATCAGTATCGAAAGTATTACCCACACACACGAGTTTCATTTCCCACTAGCACCTAAAAACCTAAGAACTACAAGAAAAAAAAATCAAAAATTAAGTGTTTGATGATTTTCTCATGGATCCCCAAACGCGACTCAAGAGGGAGCTCCCCTCGAAGTTAACATTCTTAAAATCCACGAGTCTTCTATTAAAAAAAAAAGCTAAAAAGGGAATTATTATTGGCAACGGCACCTCTCGAAATAGCCCCCTTGAAAATTTCGGTTTCGGCCTGGATCCGCTCTTATAGATTCAATCATCAGATCTTAATAGGGCTGCCACCTATCCTTTTTTGAAAAGGACAGTCCTTTTATGAAGCAAGATGTCCTTGTGACTTTTTAAAGCTTAAACTGTCCTTTTTTACCGTAAATGTCTTTTTTACAGCACATATCTTTAGAAGGAACATGATTTGTACTCTTTTTTGTAGTCCTTTCTTCACTTTTCAAAAAGGTGGCAATCCTACATCTTAACTAAATTTATATGGAAAGCCCCTGACGTATCTTTTACACAAAAAAATATATTCTGACGAATTGAGAACTTCCTCTTTTTTTGAAGTCTGTTAATTAAAAACCATACATTATTGAAAATAAAAATTCGCTTACTTGTTCTATCATCATTTCCATCCTTTTCGTCCAAACAGTTCCGGATATTCTCCTTATTCACTTGGTCATACGTTTTGCACGTTGTTCTAGCTGAGACGACCGCAAATGCGAAGAATACCAACACCGATTTGATGTCCATCCTTGGTCAACGTCTTTAACGGAATGGCGACTGATGGTTTTGTTGTTTTCTAGACCAGTAACCCACATTTCTTGGTACCGAATCGCGATACTCACTCGTCCGACGATGATGGTTAGATACTTTCAAACGGTTTGGCTAAAGTGTGTTTGAAAATAAAAATAAATAAGATTGAAGAGAATGTAGTAGGGTGAGAATAATTAATGCGATTTTTGATTCAGGTGAATGTAACAAAATTATTAGTGAGGAGTAGGTATATATACAGTTTGGCCCTGAAGTATTATGAATATACAGTCTGTTCGCTATACTTACGCGGGTTTGGGATTAAAAATTGTATGAGTATTTCCAGCTAAGTACCCGAAAGTTTGACCTGTTCTTTAGGGAAATATCAACTGGTTAAATGAAATGAAAAATAATGTACAACTTTTTAATTAAATAATAATGGAGAATCTTTTGTATAATTGAGAGCATAATTAAACTTCTTCATTAATGTAGTCTAATGTGGCTATTATAAATCTAATAATAATTTTATATTACACTTCACACAAAAAATATGGTCTATGTATAATAAGAGGGTTATTTAGCTTAAATAAAATATTTTCTAACACAAAAATTTGTTCCATGTAGAGAATTTCAAATGAAAAATAAAAAATTGAACTTGCCAACAAAAATGAAAATCAGTCATTATCATCCAAAATATCGTAATCGTCGTCATCACCATTAATTGTTATTATGATTGGACTTATTTCGTTTATTTTATTTTCACGAGTTATGATCTTCTATTAGTTTCTCGCACTTGGATATACAGGTCCGCCACACTTCTGGAGTTGCAATTGAAAGTGCTTTTCGCCAAGTTTCCCGAACTGCGTCGTCACTATAACCATTAGGCCTAATATGGTTGTCACAATATTGTTTTGCTATTCCCCATATATATTTGATGGGATTAAATTGGCAATGATACGGTGGCAGATGTAAATTTGATGACCGTAACTTTCAATAATCTGATCCACAACCTTAGATTATACAAACCTTAGATGGAACATAAGACACTGCGCATAATCCCATTTCGAAATTATTCACACCCACCAATCACGGTTGAGAACATCACATGTCAGAGCATTGTCCATCCAAATTTAATGTGTCAACGAGAATTAATTTGGTATTTTAGTGACTAAAATTTTGGAAATTAACGTTGAAAATGCCAAGATGTGTTGTAAAAAGCTTTATTTATAATAAAAGTGCGAAATGTGACGAAGATAAAAGAAACTTACATTTATTTCGGTGAGATATTAATTTTCAAAGATTCTGTCGACATCCATATTTGTTGATTTGAATATAAACAGAATCGGACTTGGTCATTGGTACATGTTATGAGTAGCAAATAAAGGTTATTATTATAAACTGTTTTCTATTTCTTGTTTCATGGGGAATCTTTTTTCAGGAAGTGGAAAGAGTAACATACAATCAAATACAAAAATATCAATTTAATTGCCAGTTTATTCGTTTGAAACTTCACAACTGGTTTCAATAGTTTTTTCAAAACTATTTATTTATGATGTCTCTATAACAGTGTTACTCAAAGTATGCTCCGCGGAGCCCTGGGGCTCCGCAAAGCCTTTGTGAGGGCTCCGCGAAGAAAATAATCATAATAAAAAAACAGTACTATCGCCACAAAATGGAGGGACCTGGCTTGAGGACCTTTTTTTTTGAGAAGCCCTTTTTTTAAGTTACTAAGAGGAAGGAAAATATGATTTTGCTTGAGGACTTTTTTTTATTTTATTTTTTATGGGAATTAAATATAATAAATTGAAAAATAGCTTTTTAAAAACAATTTTATTACTTTTGATACAAGTTTACTTGACAACGATAGAACAGAGAATGATTTAATAATATAAAAGAAAAGGCGATTAGCCTCGGCCGTCTTCTCTTAGTCAGCGGTTTTTATTGTCAGCTGGGCAGTTTCTATGTATGTAACTCCTCCATCCCTAAGATGAGAACATAACGGAGTTATGTTCGAATTTTTCTTCTTCATCTGGGGGCTGCTCCCGTTGGTTTGGCCTATTGCAGAAGTTTTGCATCTTTTTGAATATTGGTTTCATGAATATTAATACTAATAAAATAATGGTGATAGCTATCGATAGTCCTCCAAAAATTTGTGGATATTGGTTCGAATTTGAAAACTGAATAGGTGTAAGCCGTTTTGCCAGGTTGCTAATTTTGTATATTTCTTGTAGGTTAATTTTTTCGAATTTTGGAATTTCATATTCTGGTATGGTTCCTAAATTTCCTATATCGAGTTTGGGTAGGATGAGAGGTTTACCTTGTTGAATTTTGACATCGTTGAAGAATTTTTTATTGTTGAATGTTATTTGGCAGGATTTTGGTAATTTAATTAGCATAGGACTTTTAATTTCAATGTATTGATCTGTACGGCATTTGGAGAATATTTCTTCTTTTCTTGTTGGGATTATTAAGATTTGGTCTTGAGTGATTTGTTCGATTATCGATTCTTCGGAACTAAGTTGGACTTTTCTGCAGTTTTTCGTTGATTGGTTTTTTATAAGCTGAACAGTACAGTTGTCTTCGGGGATTTGATCTTCGATGCAAAAGTATGTGTTTTCTAAGACCGGACAGGCTTCGTCTTTGAATTGTATTTTTGAGGTGCTTTGTGCCAGATATGGGTATTTTGGTATAAATGCTTGGTAATTTTGGATGATGGGATAAAGGCGATAAAAGGTAAGTATTTCGGCTCTGATAATTGGGATGTGTATAGCAAAAATTAATTTATTGTCTAAAAATGTAACTTGAGTACCCAAAAATTGATAATAAGTTAATATGTTATTAAATTTTGGAATTTGGTCATTTTGATATAGTTTTCTTAAATATTCTAGTGAGTTTAATAGTTCTTTGCTCGAGATTATTGAAGTGTGAAGAGTGTTAAGTTTGGCAAAAGCAATAGAATTCTCTAAATTATCTATAAATGTAATAATGTTTTGGCAATCTAAATTTATTTGTGAAATGATACCTTGAAAGGTTAGATATTCATGCAATTGAGTAATTGTCTTTCTCACAGACATTTGGAAATATTCGAGAGAGTTCGAAAATTTCTCTTGATTCAGTGATAATATGTTAATCGTTTTATTATAATTATTTATCAAATTTTTCGATAGAGAACTTTGTAAATTTATTTCATTAATTATATTTTTCTGGTTTTGTTCTAAAATTTTAATAGCGTTATCGTATCGATTACCATCATCAGCGTCGAGTGTGCCGAACATCCATTTTTCTAGTTTGCCGATCCCGTCTATTATACCTCGTTTACTGCGAATATGTGGTTGCAAGTTATCTAGTTTCTTTTGTGTACTTTTTATCATGAATTCTGTTCTTAACAACATGTCTTGAGATAAGGCATGATACGAAATATGATTAGTTGCGTTTTCTCTGTTCAGATTATTACTAATAATGAAAAAATGTTTATCTAAGTTATGTAACTGATTAATAATAGGGCTTAAATCTAAATAGTGTATAAATGTATGTTTGGAGTAAATTATATTAGCGTTTCCTAATTGTATGGGTAATATAGGGTTATTTACAGGTGTCAGTCTTATGTCGTCTTCGTCACTAAGTGCTATTTGTATCGCTTGAAGTAGTAGCAGTATTATTTTCATTTTTGTCGGAAACCTGCAACAATGGTTTTTTATTAGTTTTAGGTTTCTTAGCGCTTGCTTTATGGTATGTATTTTTATCGGTCACGAGTTTTGTTTTAGTCTGCGTAATCAGTTTTGTCTTTTCAAACTTAGGTAATTTTTTATTTCTTAGTTTTGTCCTAATATATGCAACTTTTTGTGTTTTATAGTCTGGGGGATCGTCTCGTTTTTCGTTTCTTTTGTCGATTATTTTTTCTTTTGTTTTTTCGTTTGTTTCTCGTATATTTTCGTAAAGTCTAATAGCTGATTGTTTATGGGCTTGTACGTAATCTGATACTATTATATGGTCGTTTAGGTCAAAAGGGTCTGTTGAGTTTATATGTCCTTTTATTATCTCAAATGGGGTAAATTTAGTAACGCTATGAATAGAATTATTGTAACCAAGTATAGCACGTTTTATTAATTGATCTGAAGTTAAGTTTTCGTTTTCTTCCCTTAAACAGCGGAAGTGCTCGATCAAGGTTGAGTGGAAACGCTCTACAGGAGAGTTTGAATTGCTATTTCGGGCAGTTGTGTAATGTAATTCAATCCTGTAAAGTTCACAAAAATTTTCTATGTCCTTGTTTTTAAACTCTGTGCCTGAGTCTGCGGTTATTTTAGTCGGAAGTCCGTGGTGGGTTATAAAATTAAACAGACATTCGGTTATGCATACTCCGTTAGCTGCTTGCAGGGGATAAGCTTGTCCGTAACGTGAGAAAGTATCGATAATAGTAAGATACATATTTCCTGAAATTTTAAAAACATCTATGTGAATATGTTCGAATGGTCGCGAGCAAGTTGGCGTTAAGTTAAATTTAATTATTGGTGGGTTTCGATCATATTTATTTTTCTGGCATATCTCACAATTATTTACATAATCTTCAATATCATTGGCCATTTTTGGCCAAAAATACCTTTTAGATAGGGATAACTTCATTTCTTGAATGCCACGGTGGCATGTTTTAGTTTCATGATAGAATTTTAGTTTTTCTTTTTGCAATTCATCAGTTTCAATGTCTTCTAATATGGTAACACATTGCGTAATTTTGAAAGAGGCATGTTTAAAATTCGCTTGCATTGTGATCGAGAATATCGCGGGTAGTTCGATATCTCGAAAGAAGATAGCATATGTTTTATTAGGAGAGATATATTCTTTAATGAAATTTATTATGTTAGTGTCTGTATTTTTATTTGGTAAAGTTACATAAAAACGAGTATTATTGAAAATTTTAGTAGTTTTGCATTTTATAGATTCTATGTCTCCGCTAGTAATGAATATTTGATTTTTATATATGTTAAGAGCTCTTTCTGTAATAGGCATAGAGAAAATTGGGTTTTCAGCAGATGAGTGAATAGTTTCTAGGTCTGAGTCAGAATCATGTGAGTTAATTTTGTCTGGTTTTCTTAACTGTATGTCGGATATAATATTAACTTTGTCTGAACGGTTATTTGTTA